TGTCAGTCATTGCTAGATTGACGCACATGGCTCGTCTCGCGAGCTGGCGGGGATTGATCTTGTCTTGGGCATGGGTTAATACCGGCATGCTGACGTTGTGGATATCGTCTAGCATCTTGGGGATGACGTTGCCTTCACTTTCAATGGTTGCTTCCCTAGCCGCCTCCCGGATTTATTTTGCCCATGGGACTCATGCTCGTGAGCGGAATGCAGTTTGTGATGTCGGGGGGGTTGGCTGCCTCTTGGTGTCGATTAGACTTGGGCAGGGATCGGTCCCAACCGGACCCAGGTATGGGCCTGATTGGGACTAGTCGCTCATGGGCTTGGGACCAGTCCCAGGCCCAAGAGAAATTTCAGGACCCGGACCGGTCCCTAGGACTGGTCCTATGGGCCTGAAACATTATTGTTCACCCCCCCAATTTTTTTGATATTTAGGGCAAAAGAAATTATGTAGGGGGGTTTATGTAATTTTTAGGGGCTTGGAAAATTTTTTCCACCCCGAGAGATTAATAAATTTTTAATTAATTTAAAAAAAATAAATTAATGGTTAATTATAATTAATAATAATTTATATATATATGAGGATTTAAATTTTAAAGAAATAATTTAATTAATTAATTTTAACATAAATGTAATATTTACACAATCATACATTCACACTTCACAAATAAACAATTAAATAAATTTATTTTTATTAAATTATTCATCGTCAGCAATATTTACATTGTTCAAATCTGTGTTCCTGAAAGTTCGAGTAGTTCAGGATTTTCAAGGTGCTGTTGCAGTCTTCTCTCTACATGAGTCCAATCTCGTAAACACGTTATCACTTCAATCATCTCATTGGTTAAAGAGCATATTCTGTCTTCAACAATTTGGCCACTCATTGAGAATGCTGACTCGGATGCAATTGTAGAAACTGACACATATAAAATGTCACGTGCCATTTTGGCTACAATGGGGAATCGACTTTGATTTTGTTTCCACTATTGAAGCACATCCATCTCACGTTTCTCCTTCTTCGTCATGTAGGACATGTCCATTTGTAGGTAGCGATTCAGCTCATTTGGTCAATGTATGTATGCACTGGAGCTGCTACTTCTGCCGTCATGTTCCATATACGTCCACATGCTCGATTCTTGATAGTTGTCTTCATCAGGGTCCTATTAGTTGTCTCTGCTGGATGTTCTAGTTCCATTGTACCTATTCTGATATAAAGAAAAAAGGCTTTCCAATTTTCGGTTAAAGTTAATCAAATAATATGCATAATCATGTCCTAAATGCTGGCCTATCTCAATAACTATACAATTAACTATGTGTAATTTAAATCTAGGATCTACAACAAGATCTAATCCATATAAGAATGGAATATCTAACCAATATTTCTTGTATTTTTTTCCATCTTTGAAACAATTTCCATTAAGACGTCATTATATCTATATTTAGCAAAAGTTTTAGAAATTTGAAGTAAAATATCTAACGCTAAATTAGTAGTAGGATGATAAATACCACTTAATGTATTGGTGGATTCATAAAAAAGTTCGCAAACCGTCCAATCACCATAGCTGACAACTTCTTGTGGATTCTTCCGGTTGACGAAATTTGTAATTTGTGTTGTGTTTGGCAAAGCTTTTTCCAATTTCAAGTAGGTGGAGTTCCAACAGATAGGCATGTCTATACATAACTTCAAAGGTCGAACCGGTGGATCCTCTTGCTTACAATATTTGACGTACTCCTGCCATCTTTTGTTGCTACCGCCGACGATGAATCTGATAGTCGTGTGCACCCTTTCAATCTTCGAATTTATAGCTTCTAAACCTACTTTAACAATCAAATCGATGATGAGGCAAACACATCTTTGGTGAAAAAAATTGTCTTCACCAAGCGAATCTAATCTCTTTTCAAATAAAGAGATAGCTGCGGTGTTAGTAGTTGCATTTTCTAGCGTTAGTGCTACAACTCTATCAGTTAATATATATTCTTGCAAAACTTCAAGTATTGTAAAATAAATAGTGCCAGCATTATGAGCAGTATATAATGGTCTAAAACCTATCAATTTTTGTTGTAAACCTCAACCATGATCTAAGTAATGTATTGTGACAGTTAAAAAATCTGTTTTTGATCTACAAGCCCATATATCTAAAGTAAGTGCAATAGATATATTCCTAAAATTTTGAAATTCATTTTTAAGTTGAATATTTATTTGGTTATAAAGTTTTAGTATGTCTCTTCTACTTGTACTTCTACTAACAGGGGTATATGCTAGACAAAATGCGGTTTTAATCAAGTGAATAAAAAAAAGATTTTCAGATAAAGAAAGGGGAGAGTCCGTAGTAACTATGTATTTTGCTATTTCCTCTCGTGATTGGAGTGCATTGTATTTCCATGTTGACAAAGTTAAGGATTGTGGATTAAAATTAAGTTGAGTTTGAATTTGCCTACTTGGTCCAATTGAAGATGAATCGGATAGCTGCATTATTTGGGGGTGCTTCTTCTCCAAATGACGTTGCATCGTCGAAGTTCTTGTCTCAACGCCGATAACAGTTCCATAGAAATTACATACCCCGCACGATTCTTCCCTTTCCCCATTTGCTTTTGCCCATTTTGATTTGGTGAAGTGTCACCTTACATCGGAAACGACTCTCTTTGACGATCAGGGGGGTTGGGTCGTGGAGTCGTAGCTCGCTTGTGTTTAGCTGCACCTCGTCCCGACTAAATGTGGTGGTTGTTGTTGAATTGCTGCTTCTAGAAAGGGTGAAATGGATTGAACCCTTCCATTTCTTCGGTTGATGGAACGTAGAACTCATTTGACCCTTCCATTATGAATTTATGATAAAATAATAAATAATTAAAATGAAAAAAATTAAATAATAATATAAATAAGAGATGATATTGAAAAATAGAAAAATTGAATAATAGAAAATATAAATAAATTATATGAATAAATTATAAATATAAATATAAATTGAATTGAAGAAAATATGAATAAGAATTGGATAGAAGTAGAGAGATTTAGAGAATGAGAGATTGACTGTTGGCAGCCAACGGTCATGTGCTATTTATTTGGATTTTTGTTTTATTTTTTTATAAACTATCAATTTACCCCTTAATATTTTTTTAATTACAAATTATTAGGGGGTTTTTGGATATTTTACAAGGATTGTTTTAAAATTTTGTAAATAGGTTTGGGTCTAGGCTTGGGACCGGTCCCATGCCCGAGCCTTGGAGGAGGGCCCGATCAAGGGACCGGTCCCTCCTCCCATAGGCTTGGTCCGGTTTGGGACCAAGCCCTCATAGGACCAGGCCTTCTTAGGACCAGTCCTTTGGGCTGGGTTTTTGGGACCAGTCCCAAATGCCTAGGTCTAGCGCCGATGAACCGGATTGACCACCTGTAGAATTCATACCTGTTAGGGTGGCACTGGTGAAGCACGACTGGTTGATATTCTCGGCAGTTGGTTGCTGATTCCTCAACTCAACCACGTTTTGTGTGCACCACTTGTGCAACCATCGTTTTGATCATCTCCACCAGTTGGCCATTTTTGGGGTTTGACATCCTTGCCCCCTGGTTATTCGTGACGTGCTGAGTTGGCGACATGGGTGGTCGACGTCTAGCAGAATCCTGTTGTACCTCCTAGTGGATGGTCTCTACATTCTCAAGGTTTTCGATGGTGGTCTTTGATTTGGTGTGCACCATTGTGGGCTTAGATTGGGTAGGTTGTTGAGACTGTTTGTAGGAATTGCTGAGATGTTAACGGAAGCTCTAGTGCCAAAATATTGATACAGAAATCTGCACCAACCAGAAAATTCTGATTGACCTTGACGGGATCGGAATGGATGTGCTCGTGATTACGGATAATCAGCGATTGACAAGTATTGAATGTAATAAAGTAAATGGCAATGAGATTTTTTAAAGTGGTTTGGCGAGGTAAACTCTCAAGCCTATGTCCACTGCTTTTTGTATTTGCTGTAAGAGCTTACATTGAGAATTCTATGAAAATTTTGTAACTCTTTTTTCATCATTTGAGGGGGTTTATATACAAGGTTTGTTCAAAGGAAAGAACGAAAATAAAGGGATTACAATTGATCTGAATTGCAATTCCGATATTCTCGCGATTGGGCGTTGTGATTATGTAGAAATTGCTGTTGATCTAGTCATTCCCGCGATATCTGGGATCTGAAGTTTTTTGGGAATTAATTGAATGCTCATTCAGGTTTTTCGCGACTGACTTGTGTTGGGTCGAGTTATATGTCGACGAGTATGCTGGGTCAGATAATCAGTGAAGTCGGACTGATCCTGGGTCAAGCTACATCCTCGCGGTAATGCAAGCTTGGTAAAAAAATCACACACAACAGTAAGTTTTTAATAGGATTTCTTTATATTTTAATATAAGGTTAAATTTATCATAAACAAAAATATAGACGACTAAAATAAAAACGGACTGAAAATTACTTTCCAGAATAAATCTTGTGCTTTTTAAGTCGATTATTGTAGCGACGGGCTTGCGGTCGCGGCTGAGCACAATTGAAAGTTGAAACCTTTAGACACAAAGGTCTGCCATCAAGCATACCCACAATCCAAGAATGTTGTTTGTCTCATATTTTAATATTTTTTTTTAATTTATGATAAAAGGAAATCAACTGTTCTTGTTCCAATGTTGCAGACACCAGCCTTTATCTAGAGTCAGTGACCCCACTTAACTAAACATTCATTAACTCCAATTAATTATGATTCCACTTTACTAAGCTCACCCTCTCACCTTACACAGCTGTCACTTAATTATATTTCTTTCAACCACCAAACCTCAGACCATCAATCTTATCTTAATCCTACTTGATTGCTGTTGCATTAAAACCGTGATCCTAAATTACTATACTGCCCTTTAGTTAAATTTTCACTCTACATATCCAAAACTCTTTAATGTGCGAAATTATTTCTTTACCCTCTTAGTATGGTTTCTTATTGGGACCTGAAAGGGGTCCCATCTTTTTGAGGCCCAATGCAATGGGACCAAAAACGGCAGCGCAGGAGACCTTTTACTCTTTACTCTTTAGGCATCTTCCCCCTCCGACTCCATATATAAAAATTCGGTCATTTTCTTCTTCTTTCTTACCGGTGAGAGTAGAGTAAACTCTGTAAAGCAAAAGGTGAATTCTCTATTTTCAGATTTTATTCAGACCAATCTAAAGTACATTTGTCTCTTTTCTTTTTAATGTTTTTGATTTTTTTTTTTTTTTTTAATAAACAAGTCTATATTGTTCAGATCTCTGAGGATTCGTTGTCTCTTTAGGTGTATGTTCTTCAGTTCCTTGGGTGCTTAAGTAATGAATGCTTGTTAAGGTTCCTCAAGTACGTCATTGCCGGTAATGCTTAGATCCAGCTTTACTTTTAGTTATAGATCAACTTCAACTTCACTGTCTCGTTTACTCTCATTTTGTTTTGTTTTTTGGTTCTGTAAGGAACAGTTCTCTATTGTTCTTTGCTTCTTTAGTTGCTTATCTTATTCCTTTTCTTACTTGAGTTTATTGGTGCTGTGAATATGTATTCATGAATTTTCTTTTAAGTGAAACCTTAAGTTTGTGTTGATTTAAAACATACATTTAGGTTGTGTGGCTTTACTTATAATTTACTAGTAATTCATGCAGTCATGTGCTTCGTGTTGAAGTTGTATTGTGCATTAATACAATTAAAATGCTGCAGGTTGGTGTATTTGGATTTATACTGCAACTGTAATGGGAAAGACTCCTGGAAAATGGATTAAGACCTTATTTCGGGGGAAGAAATCCTCCAAGTCTGGCTTTAAAGGAAGAGATATTCTGGTAATTAATTTCTATTTCCTTCTTAATATTTATGATTTAAATTTATCAGCTTCTTTCCTTTTCTCTTCTCATATGTCTCCACATAATGAAATATTGCTTCGAAAAGGGTGGGTAATTGCATGGCTAGAATGTAGTGCTGAAGTAAATTCACATATCCTATTTGATCTTCAATCATGAAAATCATTACATGATTGAAGATCAAATAGGATAATCAATTAAGAGACTGTTCAAAAGCTTAAAAGTGACTTTTGTAGAAAGTGAAGGTGGAATTGTCATTGGCTAGTGGACTATAATGCCATAACTTCTTTTGTAACTGCAATTGTGTATATGCTAGTTCTAATTGGTATCTGAATCTTGTCTTAAGAAATCTGCAAACACAGGAGAGTCATTAATTTCTTCTAAAGTGCCTGTCTCTGATACACTTGTGGCTCCTCTGTTGATCTCGCCACCTACTATTGAGACTGGTTCTAGAATTGGAGTGGACTCAAAACAGGGTTTAGCTGCAGAATTACCAAATGAAGGGGCTAATGTTTTGTCAGCAAAAGAAGATGGAAGTATTCAAAAAGTTATTGATTTGGGTTCAGAAAAAGACCCTGATAGAATTCGGCATAACCAAGCTGCCACAAAGGCTCAATCTGCATTTAGAGGTTATAGGGTAAGTTCTTCTTGCTCTGTTAAGACCTTGTCTGAGAGTTAAACGTAATGAACTCTGAGCATTCTCATGTTGCGTATTTGCAAACCTAGTTTTCTATTATTTTTCAATTTTTACAAGTTTTGATTTGATCTATTAATTTTATTGAATGATTTTCTCCGTTAACAATAATTTTCATAATGTTCTAGAAATTTCGTAATGAACTCTGACTCTGGTATCAGAATTGTTGATTGGTCATATGTTCAGATTTTACAAATTAAAATTGGACATGTGGTGAAAGCGTTGTAGAAAGAAGGGCTTTAAGTGTGTTTTGGCACAAGTGTGCAAAATTTGCATTTTGTGTGTTTGATTCTAGTACATTCTTTAGATGTAAGTTTGTCTATGGCAATTCAATGAATTAATAATTCAAATGTGATATGAGCTTATCTTGCTCTGAAATTAAGAATTTAATGATCTTCAGTCCTCAACGTGCCTGCTACTTGTATTGAAACATTTTGCTCGCTTCATGAAGACAGAAGACCGAGCTCCTTTCATTGATACACTGTTAGTAGACTTCAAATGTTTTCTTTATGAATTAATGAGTACTATATTAGTTTTGAAATGTTTCTTTGAAAGATCATGTAGGCAATAAGAGACCATGTTAAACAGACTAGGCCGTAGAACTCCTTAATTTATAATACAGGTGAAGGTGCTGCACAGTTAACTGATTGAATGCATAGGAAATTGGAGTTTGGATTTATTTCCTGCTTGAAGGGAAGACATATAGGCTTTACAATGTCACAAGGGTCACACTAATATAAGATGTTTGCTATAGTTTCCTAACTTCACACTATCCTGCAAAGCTAACACGGGCAACAGTTCTTTCAGTTTGAATGAAGTTGAAACACCTTTCAGCTTTATGTTTTCAGTAAGGTATAAATATTCGATTCTTTTTGTAAAGTTTCTGTTGTGCTGATGTTAGCTTAATTTCTTTGAAGGCTCGCCGTGCATTTCGAACCCTCAAGGGCATCATAAGGCTCCAAGCTCTTATTCGCGGTCACTTGGTTAGAAGACAAGCTGTTGCTACATTTCATTGCATCCAGAGCATTGTTAAGTTTCAGGCACTAGCTCGAGGTCAGAAGGTTAGACGCTCTGATATTGGGATTGAAGTACAAAAGATATGCAGCCAGGGAGTAGTTCTGGTAATTTTTTCTGCTTTATTTATATGGTAGTTGTTGAATTTTCCTATCATATCTTTTATCGGAGAAAAATACCTTCAGATTATGTAGCTCCCTTAGTTTTTGTTTCACAGTAAACAAGCATTGAAAAGCCTTTCATCATTGTATAAAAGAATAGATAACATAGGTTTTGATGAATAGGCATGTTGAATTTTCTTTTCAGTATTATGATAATATTTTTGTGTGTTTTAATTTCATCAAACCTTTTCTCCTTTAATTTTACCCCTAATATTTATGTTTCCCATCAGGTTGCTGATTGTTCAAATTCATCTGGAATAAGTACATCTACTCTTGTGAGGAAGCTCTCAAAGAATGCTATTATTCAGGAGGTAAGATCAACTTATATATTTCTGGCATATAGCTCAAAAAATTCTTTTCTTTTAGGTACCACTTCTAAAATGTTTATGGCTTCAGCTTTTCGGAATGAGATAACTCTTGATAGAAGGATTTTATCTTGTTTTGGTGCAAAAGTTCATTCTATTGGATTATGCCGTATGGGTGGCAGGATGGGATATTTCCTGGTCTTGTACATGCTTCCGTCAAATTTTTTCCCTTCGTTGAGTGCTTTTTATAAGACCAATTGCTATCCTTGGTGCTTTTGATGCATTACCATTCGCTTGTCTGACATATCAGCTTAAGAATTTTTGTGATGGCTGTATAAGTACCAATCATCTAGGTGCACCATGCTGCATTTGTCATCATGCCAATTAATTAGTACCATGTGGCTGTAAATTACATTATTCTTATGACAAATGTCAGCTTTTGGCTTCATCACCATCTGCAATGCCTCTACGCCTGACCTACAACCCAGGGGAACCTAACTCGGCCTGGCAGTGGCTTCAGCGCTGGACGAAGGTACTATTTTGGCAACCCCACCAACAATTAAAGAAGAATATCCAATCAAAGTCTCGGACCAAGCGTGGCAGTTCTCAAACTGTAGAAACTGAAAACGGTGTTTTAAAGAGAAATTTCAGAAAATCATCTAGTATGAACACTGAAAATGGCTCAATTCGTTCTACTTCTGAGTTTGAGAAATCCAAACGCAATCCCAGGAAAGTTTCCACGTATCCTGTTGATTCTGTTCTTGAACATCCACAAAATGATTTTCAGAAGGTAAAACGCAATTTAAGAAAAAATTCCAACTCCACAAAAGAAGTGACTGAGCAATTGGAGGTTGATAATGAGAAACCAAAGCATGGTCTAAAAAAATCATCAAATTCTGCTGTCCCTGATGTTCCAGTTCAGGGGACCAATGATTCTATTGAGAAGATGAAGGATGTGTCCTTGTCAGTGTCTAGACATTCTGATGTTGATACAAATTTGAAATTGCCAGAAGATGATGGTTCATTTGATGAGTTACTTGACCATCCAGCAGCCGACTTTAAATCTACAGAGAACAATGGTAAAGTTGAAAATATTCAAGGGACAAATGTGGAGCTCAACTCTAAGGATCATCATATTAGCAGTGAAAACCCAAAAAACAGCCAGAGAAGGGCCTCTTTACCTGCAAAAATTGATCATCAAGAAAATGTGTTACATAGTACACAAAAAGTGCCTAGCTATATGACACCAACTGAATGTAGCCCAAAAGTGCCTAGCTCTCTGGCACCAACTGAATGTAGCCCAAAAGTGCCTAGCTATATGGCACCAACTGAATCTGCCAAGGCTAAGCTTAGAGGACAAAGCTCCCCCAGGGTTTTCCAAGATTCAGTTGAGAAGAATGGTATAACCAGGCGGCATTCTCTGCCATCTTCCAATGGCAAGCCAAGTTCATTGTCTCCAAGAGTAACACGACTTGTTCAAGCAGCTGGCAAAGGGGTAGTCAGACCGGACCGATCCCTTACATCTTCCCGAGATGGTGGTGGTAAGAACATTTGATCACATTCTAGTATGCCCTTTCTTTTGTAAGTTCGTTATGTGTGACGACATAAATTCTAGTTCATGGATTTGTACAGATACATAGACACATAGATACACATATTTACCTATTGGTGGGTTCTTTTGGAATTTGGATATTAAGGATGATTTAAGCATAGGTTATGCATGGGAATTTTATTTTGTATTAGGGCCTACTTGAATCCTTCACTCTAGACAGTTGTTATGTTTTGCTGTGGCCTACCTGTCCACTGAAGTTCTGCTTAATATAGATGAACAATTCTGTTGTCTATGATTACTGATAAATTGACATCTTCACTTATATTTATTGAAAAGGATCATAAGTCCTCGGTAACCATATATTGTAAACTATTTTGTTTTTTGGGTGGGTTATTATACACAGAGTGGCTATTAATAAGTACTTTGAGTTCTTATTTGACTTGAAAAAGATTTTGAATGGCTAATTCTCTTTCTGATTGATTGTTGTGGGCATTCCGATTTCAGATAAGGTGATCCAAGCAGAGTGGAGGAGGTGATTTTGCACTATCCCATGAAAAGTCAATCAAAGAGGTGAAAGAAAAATGTTAAGTAGGATTCATTTGCATCAAAGAGTTGTAGAACAATGAAATGGATGTCAGGTACTAAATAGTGTGTGGTTTGTGCCAAGCGTGTTAATTAATTTTCTCACTTGTTGGGTTGTAGGTTGGTAAATATTTAAAGGTCCCAAGGCATGGGTTGGTTATTTTCATGTTTTTTGTGATGTACAATTAATTTTACTGTATTTTTAACTCTAGATATTAAAGTGTGAGAAACTTCTATTCAAACTTCAACCTTTCAAAGGTGTAGTTGAAAAATCTGATATTATATATCAGAGGAAATATCTTGCGTTACCATATTTACCCACTCTGATGGTCTTGTTGATTTACCCGAGCAATCTTAATTCTTAAAACATAATTATCGGACATGACCCATTAATGAAGATGCCATGATTTCTTAAGATTGCCTGTATTGATACTATCAGTCCCAACTTCTGTATTTGGCAACTTCTCTTATTGCGACTGTGAAAACACATTATTGCCTTGAAAAAAACGAAGAGTTCTATTTCTTATTAGGGTCAGCTATGATGCACTTTTATTGACAGTGTTCTATCTCTTTGCTGAGGTCCTAATTCACCAAATGCAAAAAGCATGGAGTGAAGTTCCGGGAGTCCAGTCAGGGTGGAACTTTGCCAGGCTCTTTGTGTAACCGTTTCCTAGATAAATGCACCCATAGCCTGCTGATGCACCCCCATATATTGTGGTTTTTTTATCATAAGACCAGATAATTTTGCCTGTGTTGGCGTCCATTGTGTATAAAGGACCATTAGGAGATACAGAGCCAGCAAAGAGGAGATTGTTTACTGGTGTGACAGGCGCTTGTGCAGTCATTGCTGGGATTTGCCGTCTACCAAACAATTTCCCCGGTACTTGCATCCAGAGCCACCCATGCTCCAGCCGTTGTTCTTTGTGTAGAAGGTGCAAGAGGGAAACTCACTCGGTCACTGTTGGCAATGTTTGTATACACTCTTTTACCATCAGTGGCTGCACCCCAGAGTCCTCCCTCCTTCCCACCTGGTCCAGCCAACTGCAATCCAAGAAATAAGACATTAATTTTCCTTGGGTTAAAATTAAGAGTAAATAAGAGTTGCAGGCTTACCTTGAACCACACTGTGTCACCATTGTCACGGTCTAAGGCCCATACAAACCCACTCTTTTGTACAGCCACTGCAACGTCGCGTATTGTCTTGTTTACATATATGCTAAGTAGCGTAGGAGCCTCTCCAAAGTCAGCATCAATGCTTGGCCCTGGAGGACAGTCGGGGTTATTAGGAACTAAACATGCGAAATAGAATACATCATAACCACCCAGTTGCCTTGCCCAGGCAATCCTTCCAGAATCAATATCCAATGCAAGTATTGAATTGAAGTTGATATCAGGTCCAGTGCACTGATCCGGTTTAGTTGGTGGTGTTGTTTGATTGTTTTGCAACTCTTGGCATCGTAGCACATCAGGAGGAGCTATGTAGAGGTTCCCAGTTCCTATATAAAAACGTCGTCTTTTTACATCAATGGCAGGACTACTTCCCCATATAGCGGCTCCTGAGTAACCACCCAGTTTGCCTCCATTATCAGGAAGCATATAGGTTCTCCATATGACTCTACCAGTTCGAACATCTAGCTTTGCAAAGCTGCCCCGGAAACTACAACACTGTTCAGCTGGTAATGCCTCTTCTAATGACGATACTCCAACGTAGAAGCCCTTATTAATTGAAACAAGAAGTTCTTTAAAGAAAATTTAACAAATGGTCTATATCCTGAATTAATTTCACCGCAAGGAAAACACTTATTTTCGTCGTAATAGGAACATCTCCCATCGGACAACCTATAATACGACATCCGGAACTACGTTAGACCGGAATCGTAGAACGTGGGTCAGAAAACTTCTATTGCGACGACGGCTGCAAAGCAGAAGGGCTATTTCAATGCCACCTGCGTCGCAATAGATTGCTAACACCCTATTCTGACGCCGGTGATCACTATCGTATCTTGAGGATTTAAAACTTTTCATTTCACCCCCTGTACATTACGCAACCTTCATTCACCCCCTGAATGAACAAAATTTACTCATGGATTTGAAAAGCCAAAATTAAAGATTAGCTGGGTTCACTTACCCTAGACAGTGATTTGAGCTCGAGGACGTGAGTCTAGCTGAGTAGACCACAGAAGTCTCCCATTTGATCTAGTAACAGCGATTACAACTGCAGGGCCATATATTCCAACAATCAGTAAGCCACCGGCTATGGCTGGAGTTGTTCTTGATACAGTAACGTTAACGATGATCCCAGTACCATTTAATCCTGTTAACTCACCAAGGTTCTTCTTCCATATAAGAGCACCACTGAAGGCATTCACTGCATATAAATTTCCATTCCATGATGGAAAGTAGACCACTCCGTGACTCCTTCTGCTATTGCTGGAGTTGCTGTTATGTCTTTACCAGCATAGAATTTCCATCTAAGCCGTAACTTCTTCACAGTTGATGGATCGATTAGCACCTCTTCACTAGCATACCTCCTGTTATTTAAGTCTCCTCCATGATTTAGCCACTAAAAAAGAAAAAACAAACAAACCATAAAATACGTAAAATGAATATAGAGACTTTGCTCCCTAGCTTCAAATTTAATTATTCCTAAACTTAAAAACATTGAGCAGCTGAAATTAAACAAAGTATCGGCACTTGCATGAACTGCTTGTGTGTAATGCATAGCTTCAAATAAGCACATGGACATGAGAACAATGGTGATGATCCCATGAGACTTATGGGATTTGTTATTATAGGCCATGATGAGTAAAGTAATATCTAAGGGAGGAATAAAAAGCAGTATGAAACTGGCTATTTATAAGAATCTAGAGTTCAACTAGAAAGAATTTGTGTAATTAGTTCTAGTTTCAATTTTCTGTTACTACAAAAATAGAATGTGACGTTCCAAAATCAACTTTATCATCATATTCCATCACTAGTATTAAAAATGACAAGAGTTTGAGATCTAGCTAACGGTGAGGGATACCGCTAACGACTATACACATAATGTGACGTTGGGAAATCTCATTTTGATATCTTTAATCCTTAGACAATAATATATGAGTAATGTTAGCCTTACTCACTTTTCTTACTCATTTTTATAAATATAAAGCATAGTATGTGTACTATGAACATAGTACGGATACTATATGTTATTTTAACAAAGGTGAGTAAGAGAAGTGAGTGAAAAAAGTAAGGTTAGCATTTTTCATAATATATTGAGCCGCTCATTTTTATAAATATAAATCATAGTATGTGTACTATACGCATAGTACGGATACTATATGTTATTTTAACAAAGGTGAGTAAGAGAAGTGAGTGAAAAAAATGAGCAGGGTTAGCATTTTTTATAATATATTGAGCCGCATAGATGATAAACCCTGATTTAAAAATTTATTCCTAAAATAAATTATTAAATGTTAATTTTTCCATAGTAGTTTTAAAAAGTAACTCTTTCATCCCTCGCCTCATTTAGGCGTGGGAGGTCAGATCTATGAGAAAATGATGACTGATGGAGATGCAAAAGAGAAAGGAGGAGGAGGAGAAAGAAAAGAAAAAAAAAAAAAAAGATGAGAGGGAGAAAAGTAAAAGAAAGCACTGTTTTGAAACCTAGACCGGATCGATCGGTCTGACCGTCGATCGACCCCTTCTCCGGTCCCGGTATATCCTAAACTTGGTTATAGTAGTTAGACCAGATTGACACGTGGTTGGACTGGCTGAACAGTGTCAAATCGCTGGTTCAACCGTCGGGTTAGGGAACTACATTCACTACTAGCGCTGCTGCCGACCATTTAATCTGGTTTTCTACCTGTTTTTTTTTTCACCAAAATCACTTGAAAACATCACCCTAACACCGTTTCTAGCCATTCCCAACCTTGATTCACTAATTTTGGCCGGATTTTGCACATTCTCGTCTCCTTCATCAACTCGTGCGACTACAGTTCCAGGCCCGATCTTGCCTGATTTTGGCATCGTTCGACCTCCCTGACACCACCATTAATTAGCTTCACCTTCACCTCCACGAGAATCCTTACCATTTTCAATCCCAGTGCACTTCTCATTCATCGCTCATCGTCCATGTCTTGTTCGCGCGACCGTCTTCCTCCCCAATTCCGGTAGCTTTCGACGCCAACCATCCCACCTGATACCACCATAAGCATCACTTTCATGTCCAGATCAAAACCCCTATCATCTTGAACTTTGATTGGCAACTGATCATCGTCACCGCCATCGATTTCCTACCTAGATCGCAAGGGTGTGTTTGTTGGATTTCAAACCTGAAGGGACTGATGTGTTATTTCTCAAGGGTGTGTTTGTTGGATTTCAAACTTGTTAGATATGATGACATCACCGGTTCAAACTGCTGATCGAACTGGTTGAATTGCCCGACCCGGGAATAGGCCTGTTGGCCGGGTCAGTCCCTGGGTCAAGTTTCAAAACACTGAAAGAAAGAAAAGGTAAAGTGAAAAAAAAAAAAAAAAACATTAGGTTTATTATGAAAATTTCACAAAAGGTTAAAAACACCCTTATTAGCTTTAGGAAAAAAAAAAATTCACTAAATGTGGGCAAGGATCCTATTTCACATACCTTTGGGTGGGTTTGTAGAATCGCTATAGCTATGGAAGTTTTCTAAAAATACCCCTATTTTTATTATTATGTTATACTTAATTTGTAGAGGCAAATTATTGTCTTAAATATTTTTCATTATGTATAAAAAATCCTAAGGAAATTTGAATGACATTAATCATTTTTTCATAATTTTCTAAATTCCCTTCTAGGAAAACAAGTTCTTTACCAATGTAATATATTAAAATCATTATTAGTTTTATTAATTATACCATTAAATCATTATGCGTCACAGTCAAATAAAACAAAAAGATTAAACATTTTTTGCAAATAAGGTTTCATTATCTTTCATTACACCAATCAAAATCCAATGATATAAATTTTATACTTTAATACAACAGATTCTTTTAAATTTTAGTTTTTGAAAGATTAAAAATAAAGATAAGCATTCTAATTATTATTTCAAACATATTCAAAGTGCTACTATTTTTCAATAAGTTTCTTTTTTTTCTTCCTGTCTATTGTTTATTTTAAATTGATAGCATTATTATTATTTTTTCTTTGTTTTTATTAATTGATTACATATTTGTTTTTAGTTGATATTTTATCCCAAGAATTTATAATTGAACTTATGAATCTGTATTTAAAAAGCTTAAGAAAAATAGAAGTTTATGCAGATTTAGTTAAACTTTAGAAAAGAGTTTCATCAAATTTATCAGAAAAATAGTTACCTCGGAAGTATGATAAAATAATAAAAAATCCCCAATGATTTCAGAAATAACAAAAGTGCTCTTGTCGATAAGTTTTAGGTGTTAAAACGGGATAATATCATAGATGACCCTTAAGGTTTCCAAATTTATCATTTAGATAACAACTTTTGCATTTTTTATCATAGATTTTAATCAAAACTTGAAATTGTATCATGGATACCCCCTTTGCTCTAACTTCATTATGTTTACCGATTGTTGTAGATGACCAAAAAGGTAACTTTGTTCTTATAAGGAACTGTTAGGGTAAAATAGTAACTTTGGTCTATAAAAAAGTGTTTTACCAGCCTAACGGCAACATGACGGGGTTAGCAAAGAGAGATATTTGTGGTAAAATTTATAAACTTTGAAGGTTCATTTGATATGCAAAGGAGTATTTATGATACACTTTCAAATTTTGAGGGTAGTTTATGATAAAAAGTTTGAAAGTTATCATCCGAATGAAAAACTTAGAAACTTTAAGGGTAGTTTATGATAATGTCTTGTGTTAAAATAAAAGATATTAGGGTAATTTGGTAGCATTTACTAACTTGGAACATGTAAATTTTAATGGTTCACTAATGATTCTTTAACAATAAGGGATTTTTTGTTATTTCATAAACACCAGGGGGTTTTTGTTATTGTTTAATATCTCAGGGGATCTATATCTTTTAACTAAAAGAAAAAAAGAAAAAAGAAAAAAAGAATATACACTTAAATAGATTATAAAGAAAATGGCAATCTTATTTTGTATTGTGGAAAGAATACCTTGAACCGAGGATAACTCCCTAGCAATAGACAAACGTACAAGAGACCGAATAAAAAGTAGTGTGAACAGAGAATTGATCAACCAGATCATCAAAAGATTGATATGTTTCTTGGTTTCAGTGTTCTTTGTCGGAGAAGTAGCTATGATTGAATCTAGGGTTTGTTAGAAATTGAAGTTTATCATGGAGTGTTGGAGTAAAGTAACTGAATTTCAGCTCATTATCGGGTAAAAGCTGCCGGGTAGTTGAAATTGGTCAAAGCTCTTTTAGGAAGGCCCTCGTACTATGATGTCATGGGAAACAATTTTCTGATCGATTACTCAGCTCATGCCTTCTGGATGGTAGAAGGTAATACTTTAAAAATTGGAAGACTAACTTCAAAATTCGTTTGAAATCTATTATAACTGAGATTATAAATATTGAAAATCTATTATAACTGAATTACAAATGTTAATTTCAGTTTAAATAAGGTAAGTTACAATGCTACAAGGGCTAATTAATAATCTTCATGGTCATTTAAGAACAAACAGAAATAATATAAATTCTCCCTTTAATTACTTAAGCCGTTCACCGATCTTTACTAGTCCCAGTAAAACATGGCAAGAATAAAAGTTAAAAGAGATTAAACTAAATATACAAATTAATGTATACAACTGACATAACTCCTATTCACCCATAGTTATTCAATATTCATTCAGTTATTTTGTAAAACATTAATTTGCATGCAGAATTGTACGTACACAGTATTATTCTAAAGTGAATTATATGATTAAGATTATCTTTACATTGCTTTGTATAATTATAATTATTGGGGAATTATTTTGTACACTAATTCCCTTCTTATATTAGCTCCCTTTCTTGTGTCACTTTACCATACAGTATATAATTAAGAATCCCTCACGTATTATTAATGTTATACTATGATAACATTATGGTATTAGAGTTACAGTTGTATATTCTATATATTACAATTATCAGCATAGTTGGAATTAATGGAGCGTCATTAAGTAGTATCCAAGGAAATGGGATGGTTTGAATGTGATGCATATCAATACCAATATATAATGATCGCTTCAGGCTTCTGCATTTGTGGAGTTATGTATCTAATGGTTAATCAGTCCATATTATTATACTTCAAAGCAATGAAATAATTAGACAAGACATAACATAATGAAACAAAAACATGAAAAAGGATAAAAGAACTGCAATCAGGTAACTTTTTTTGGATGTAGATTCCACAATAAACCCACAGTTGAAGAAAACCCAAGGATCAAATTACTGCAAAAAAACAAAAATTCAAGAAAAGAGGGGCAACATCAAGATGAAGATTAACAATAATCCAATAAATAACAATGCCTTGCGAATACATTTAGCAGTAAATTAATGTCAGGTGGCAGCCAGAGTTCCCCCAAACACTTCATTCCTTGGAAAGGTCTTAACTTAAAGAGTTGCAAATATGCACCAGTGAAGTGGTCAAGGGAACTCCAGTTGACAACCGACTGTTTCTAAATTTCTCTTGATTGTTATGCCTTCTATTTATAATGAAATTAAGTTGGAAATGTTATCAAGAGATGGTGACCAAGCCAGCCATTTTGTAGGGTTACCATAGATAAGGAGATGAAATAGATCAACTCAACTGAAATTTCTGATTTGAAAGTAGTCTGAATGATGGGAAGATCAAGTGTCGAGAATATTTTGAGGTGAGTGGTCATAATCTCTCCCCATACATGCCTTTTCAACCTTTTCTATCTTTTCCAATATTCATACAAATGCTTTTCCAATTCAACTGCATTAGCTAGATAAATAAATCAATTCAACATATATACGCTACTTAAGCTTTATCTAATCTAGAAACTGCGCATGCTTGTTCGATATTTCTCTCTCGTTATGTACAATAATCTAGCCTAGATTCGCGTCCAGGTTCACAAACTCAACGTACATATTGTCCTTTCAGTCTCAGATTTGTCTGGCGGAGAGAAAAAGGATCAGAACATATACGTTGCAACTTGAAAAAGAATTTTGAGGACAAGTGTTCTTAAGACCCACCCCTTTAGGTATAAAACCTGCTTGATTCTGAATGTGAGCCCGGATTCGATTGGGCTTGGAGATATAAACTAGCAATCCAAGTGATTTCATGATAGGCAGTACCAAGTCAAAGAGTAGTGTCGTATAAGCTCCGCTTTGTTATTAAGTATGTAAATTTGAAGAATTATATTTTCAATTCATTGATTTCTAATACATAGTTACAGTCCTTATATAAGTAGAATACAATCCATTGAATCTTCTAATTATGTCAATTATAAATTACATAATATACTGACATAATTAGGAGATTACATAATATCAAGAGTATCCTAATACTGACAAAAATAGGAGATTATAAAATATTTTGGAAATCTTAACACTCCCCTTCAAGTTGGTTCGTAGATGTCACACATGTCCAACTTGTCTAAAACTTGTGAGAATATACATTTAGTAAGAATGTCGGCCAATTGATCTTCTGATTGAATCTTGGGTAATTCAATAATATTTTCATCTAGTTTTTCTTTGATGAAAAATCTATCTACTTCAACATATTTCGTACGATCATGTTGAATTGGATTGTGAACAATATCACATATTGCTTTGTTGTCACAATATAACTGGATTGGTTGATTAGGTTGATAGCCCAAATCTTGCAAGAAAAATCGTAGCCACAAAGCTTCACAAATTGTAAGGACTGTTTTCTACTTGTATTATCATAAAATATGCATAGTAAAATACATGTAAAATACCATAAATAGTTGGACCCAAATTTTTCTTTTATTAAACATACACATTCTTTACACAAAAAGTTATATCATGTACAAAACATTAAAAGCAGGGTGGACAGTGTAGCCATGTCTTTTCACTTAACGACGCCCATCCGACCGTGTCCTCACCTAGATCCTACAAAACATAGAAAACATCGGGGTGAGCACAACTAAGGCTCAGTAAGTAAATCATCTACTCATCTATCCTCGTAACTCTCTCTCTGATTCTTTCCTTACAAGTCTCGTTTACTCTCCCTTTTATACTCTTTCTGATTTCTCTTTCTCGTAAGTCTTTTCTACTAACCCTCTTTAGTAAGTCACGGCCCCATCTAACCAGAGGCACGGCTAGGATTCACTCCCACTCTACGTGACTGATACTCGTTCTAGCCGATCGGACTCGGTTATGCATGGATTCGGAACCCTTGGCCATGTAAGTACATAATCTCTCTCTCGGGTAAACTCGGGTATAGCCCTCATCCGCATGCACTCTCACGGGCTACACCACTTCTTTTTGATACTCATGCCGCTTTCTTAATACGGCGTACATGCGGGAATACTCTACCCATTACTCACGGTTTCCCTATCACACAATCTACTCTATTCTCTTATCTAGCACTAGTTTCTTTTTGTTCTCCAGTGCTCAATTTCTCTTTCTCTCTATTCTTAGAGTAGCTCAAACTCAATTTCTCTACTCTCTTTTAAACAATGTGTGATCTGAATTACTTTGATGGTAGCCAAAAGACTTCATAGCTTTTGTAAACGTCCCAAACCATGCCCTCGAAGATTGCTTCAACCCATATAGAGATTTCTTTAACTTATATACCTTTTGGCTGTGTTTTTCTAGTAAAATACACCCTAGCGGAGGATTCATATATATCTCTTCTGACAATTCTCCATGTAGGAAAGCATTCTTCACATCAAATTGTTGTAATGGCCAATCAAGGTTTGCAGCTAAAGATAATAAAACACGTACCGTGTTGATTTTAGCTATGGGTGCAAATGTCTCTTTATAGTCTATCCCCTCGGTTTGAGTGTACCCCTTTGCTACTAGTTTGGCTTTGAATCTCTCAATTGTACAATCAGCTTTATACTTCACAGTGTAAACCCATCGACATCCAACCGTCTTCTTTCATGGTGGACGATCAACAAGTTCCCAAGTCTCATTCTTTTGTAACGATTTCATTTCCTCGTTCATAGCAGCTTTCCATTTTGGATCAGATAAGGCTTCCTGCACACTATTAGGAATAGATACAGTAAATAATTGATTCACAAATGTCATATTCGATTTTGACAGACAATGATTAGACACATAATGACTCATGGGGTATTTGACCTTACTAGATAGTTGTGGTTCGTATGTTGGTTTGGGAATCCCTCTAGTACTACGTGGTGGTAACTGTTTCCTAATTGGTTCAGACTCAATTGCTTCAGACTCTAAATCAGGAACATTCTCAACAAATGATGATTGTGACATACCAGGAATGAGAGACTTGGACTGAGAAGCTTCTACGGACGGGTTTGATACCACCTTCACATTTTCATCATCCACTTCATCTTCTTGTCGAACAACAGGTCTAGTTTGTGACTCATAGTCTTCCACATCTTGAACAACATAGTCAAGAGTTTGAATTTCTTCTTGACAATACTCCCCTTGAAGTTAAGATTCGAAAGAAAAATACATCAATTCTTCATGGAAAACAACATCCATCATCACAAACATTTGTTGAGTTGAAGGATGATAACATCGATACCCTTTTTGATGAACATCATACCCAACGAAAACACATTTCAATGCATGAGAGGACAATTTGTTGCGTTGATGTTTATGGAGGTGAACAAAGGCGATACAACAAAAAACGTGAGGCGGTAAGTTCGATTGTTGGAGCATTCACTACTTTACCAAGAGTCTGAAAAGGTGTCTCAAACCTAATAGAACTAGAGGGTACCCGATTGATTAGGTAGGCTATAGAAGTAAATGCTTATCCCTAAAAGGATAACAACATGTGAGCTTCTATTAATGAGGCACGAATGACCTTTAATAAGTGCCGATTTTTTCGCTCAACAACACCATTTTGTTGGGGTGTGATAGGACAAGTAGTTTGATGAATGATACCATGTGTTGCCAAGTACTATTGAAGATTCAAACTTTGATATTCTTCTCCATTGTCACTTCAGAGGACCTGAACCTGTGCATTATACTACGTACGAACCATTTTGTGAAATCTTTGAAAGAGCAAATTAACCCGCCCTTTAGATTTCATTAGACATACCCAAGTCATATTTGTAGTCATCAATAAAAGTAACAAACCAATGAGATCCACTTAAACTAGTAACTTGTGATGACCCTTAAACATCTCAATGTATAAACATAAAAGGACTGGACTTTTGTTGAATGTAGTTGAAAATGGGATTCGATGGCTTTTTGATAGCTCACAAACGTCACAGTAGAAGTTACTAATATCATTTTTTTTTTTCAAACAAACTTGGAAAAAGTTTTTTTAAGTAACCAAACGAAGCATGTCCGAAGCACCGATGCCATAATCAAATGTCGGATTTCTGTTTATCCCTTTTTGAGTAATCTACTATCAAAGCCTACTTTAACATGGTAGAACTTTGTGACTCTAAATCCAAGTAATACAACTGCCCCTGTCTAACACCACAACAAATCATCTACTTTGTTTGAATGCTTTTAAACTCACAAAAGTTAGGCCAAAAAATCACTACACAAGATAAATCTTTGGTTATTTTGGAGATTGATAACAAGTTATAATTTAGAGATGGAACAACTAATATGGAATCTAAGTGTAAAGTATTTTTTAGGGTTAATGATCATTTCCCAATGACTCGAGTGGACTCACCATTGGTAGAAGAAACAAATTTTTGTGGGGATGTTTTAAGGTTAGAAACATACCTAGAATCGAATGTCATATGACTAGTAGCACCAGAATAAATTATCCATATACTATTAGAAACAAATATACACATATTTAAAGACTAACCATCATTTCTAATAGTGGCTACACATGATGAAGACATGTTTGGAATCTTCTTTCTTTTCCCCAAAAACATCGATAGAATTCTTGTTGTTGTTGTTGGGCTTGTTGAGTTTCATCTATGGATGCTGTCTCTCATTCTAAGCTACCATAGCTGAAGCTTTAGCGAAATCTGGAAGCAGGTTCTTGCATAGAATTTACCTGCACATCTTTTTTTTCTTTGACTTTGACTTTGACTTTTTCACACTTTTTTTTGACTTTCTTTGACTCTTCCTTTAGCGAGGATTAAAGAAGCAAAAAACAACAAAATAAAATGAAAAAGAAAAAAAAACGAACGAGAGAGTTTGAAACACAAACTCTTTTCTCCGGACAAAATGGGTTTCTGATGCAAAAGGAGTCGACGACAATAGAAAATCGGTGGCAGATCGGAGTCGTCAGTGGTAGATCAGTCACGACAGCAGCAGTTTTTTTGGCGATTTCGAGATTCGATCCGCGTTGTCTGACGACGACATCTTGACGGTGAGCAGATAGGCACGTAAACAAAGATCGACGACAAGTATTCTTGTTGGATTTCGTCGGTTTCTTCTCACTGGATTTGGCAGTTTTGACGGAGGGTGATTATGGTTATTGATATTGACAGGTTTGGTGATGGTTGATTGGGATAGATTTCTGGGTATTTACTGGGTTGGTGATTGATGGTTGCAGATTTGTTTGAATTTTTTTTTTGTTTGCGGCGGCTAAACATGGTGGTGATGTGAGTTGTTGAGTTTTGATTTGCTTGTGTTGATTGGGTGATCTGAGTTGTTTAGTGGCGGGATTTGATGGGTAGACTTTTTCTAGAGTTGTTTGGTGTCAGCTTCTTGGCAACAACTGGGGACTGGATTTTTGGTGGTTGAAAATATGGCTGTTGGTTCTTGATTTGGTAGAAGTTACGAAAGGTAGTTGAAAATATGGCTGTTTAGGGAACTTGTTGGCTTCGGTAAATTTGCAAAATGGTTGAAGGTGGCTTGGTTGTGTGAGTTATATGGTTGCTGATTGGGTTGTTTTTCGGCTGGAGGTTTATGTATTGATGATGGTTTTTTTTGACGTTGGTAATGGCTGGGCTTGGTCTTTGATTTCCGTTGGATGATGTTGGTGTTGTCAGGATGACGACTGGATGACTTACTTGCCGGTATTTTTCCCGTGGCTGCTTGACAATGAGCAATTTTTTTTTTAGATCAGAACCTGACTCGAAGAATTGTATTTTCAGTTCACCAATTTTCAATATATAGTTACCGTCTTTATATAGGTAGTGTAGGATTCATTGAATCACTTAATCATCTCAGTTACAGAATACACAATATACTGATATAATTAAGAGATTGTATAATATCAAGAGTATTCTAATACTAACAAAAATAAGGGATTACAAAATATTTTGAAAATTTCAACAAACTAAACAATATCTTCTTTTTCAACCAGGGTAAAATTGAAAAATAAAATAAAACTATATAATTTCAGTTCAGAATTCCACAATTAATTCATAGAAGTAAATACCACTAAAATTGTTACTCAAAACCATTGTCTCATAAAAAAAAATTCATATGCAATTGTAAAAAGAAAAAAAAAAAAGGTTTATTTCTTCAATTTTCATCTTGTTTTCTGTAAATAACAGTAGTGAAAGAAAAAAATAAAGTTTATGTATAGATTGAAACAGTCAAACACTTTATTTTGTTTTATTCCAATTTTCTTACAAGAGTTGGAAGCAAAACCTGTTTAGTGCAAGGGAGTTAATCTTTGTATTTTGAATTTTAAATATCATGAATTCTTATATTAATTGAGAGATTAGGTTAAAAGGAAAACAATTCATAATCCCAATTTTGGACACTTTTTTACATTAATTTTTGGTAGGATTTATGTTATTTTTCCTTCTATGTGGCATGGATTTGCTATTTATTGGAATGATTATTATTTGTAGGTCTGAATTCCAGTTTTAAATATAAGAGAAGGATGTGGGCTGAATTATGGAGTTGTTCATGCTAGTTACAGATATACTTTTTTATCAGCACCTGTTTCACAATAACCAGCATAACTCGAGCTTTACAACTAGGAATGACCTAAATCCAACAGCTATAGAAATCTAAGAAGTAGAGCTACAACTTTCTTTTTTTGGACTTGACCTAATTCTGTTGGGAAAATGGTGAAAACTTGACGTGAAGTTTCAGGCAAAATACGGAAAGCTGATTGAAGCATGCATAGTCAATGCCACAGTAGGAAAATCTAAATGCTGCGGCCATGAGGTTTCTAGAAAAATTGAAGGACAAGAATGCCATAGCGGAGCATGCTCGGGAAATCTTGCAATTATTCAATGTCGTGGCGAGCGTAACACAGGAAAATTTAATAAGAAGATTAGTTGGATTGGGGCTCCTTGGGGACTAGGGTTTCGTGTCTTACATGCAAGAGGACTATAAATTGAAGAAAAAAAGGGATATTTTGGGGGTTCCTAACTTCTTGGAGATGAATAATAGTTCTTGGATTTGAAGATCAAGCACATACAAGGAGGAGATTCTTTATTTGGTTTTCTTTCTTCAAGATGTTTATGGATATGATTGTTTTTATTATTTGTTACATTATGAACTAATTTTATTTTGCCAGGGCAAAGATGTGGCCTAATTACAAAAATGAAACTTTATTGATTCATTTTAATTTATATTCTATTTTTCTTTGATTAAGTGTTTATTATTTCTCTTAATGCAGTTGGATGCTTGATCACTATTCAATTAGACATGTTGTTTATAATGAGACTGAGAAGTGATTCATGATGTTAGCTTCTAGTAATATCATAGATTGAGCAAAAAGTAGAGATAAATAAACGCAATCAGTGTGACCTAGGGCAGAATTCCCTAGAGCTTAATGAACCTAGAATTATAAACTTCATTATTGGTTAGAAAGGTTAATAGGAAAGGGTGGGGCAATATCACCTAAGAAGGAGTATTGAACAATTTAGGGAATTCGGTCATTAATCATGAAGATTAATAGGATTTATAAGTTGTATCGGGTTAACAAGGTGAAGTCAGATACTCTAGTGTTTTATGCTTATTGAATCAGTTCAGACTTTTGGATTTCACTGATAATCGATTTTCTGTTTTTATTGTGTTAATTTCTGAATTTTTACTTTTGTTAGTATCCAATCATTCACAATTTCGGTTATCAATTAGGGTTAAAACTAGGGAGTTCAGTAGTTAATAAGTAAACTTTCCTCGTGGGATCGACACTCTATTTATCATTATATTACTTGATCGATTTAGTGCATTTGCCAAGTTTCATGCATCAAGTTTTTGGCACTGTTGTAAAGGAAATTTTAGTTTTATTAATATTGATACCATCTAGTTGAAATACTTAATTGAAGGTGTTTTTATTTTTATTGTTAAGTGTTAATTTTTCTTTCAGATTTGATTTGGATTTCTCTTGTAGTGCATGTGGAGATCGAGGAGTCTTGATCTAGTTCCAATTGACCTAGAAATCAAGGGGACTTTGAGACGCATTGACAAGGAAAAGAAACAAGCAAGAGAAAGGCAAAACACGACAATGGATCCACCTAGGGAAGAAGCAAATGCAGTAGCAACTAGAAATAGAGCATTGAAAGAGTATGTTGTACCAACGGTTGAAGGCTGTAGTACTGGCATTAGATGACCATCAATTCAAGTAAACACTTTTGAGATCAAGCCGGCTATCATTCAAATGATCCAACAATAGGTTCAATTCGATGGAAATTCATATGAAGATCCAAATTTGCATGTAGCTAACTTTTTAGAGATATGCAACACATTCAAGCATAATGGAGTGACGGATGATGCAATTCGATTGAGATTTTTTTTATTCTCATTAAGGGACAAGGTGAAGGGTTGGCTTATGTCATTACTAGTAGGAACTATCACTATATGGGAAGAATTAGCTCAAAAATTCCTTGCCAAATATTTTCCACTAGCAAAATCTGCAAAGATGAGGAATGATATCACCTCTTTTGTGCGAGGTGATAATGAATCATTATATAAAGCTTGGGAGAGGCATAAGAAGTAGTTAAGGAAGTGTCCACATCATGACTTACTGGTTTGGATGCAAGTTCAAACATTTTATAATGGGTTGCTCTCCACTACGTAACTATGATTAATGTGACAGTAGAGGAACATTAAATAACAAGACACTGGAAGACGCTTATGAACTACTTGAGGTGATTGGCTAGTAGTAATTATCAAAGACCTAATGATTGAGAAATGCATAAGAAGGCAATGGGTTTACATGAAGTTGCTGATTCACCGCATTATTAGCTCAAATTGCATCACTTCAAAAACAGTTGGGAGGTATGAATGTTAATGCCATTCAATCTCCTATTTTAACTTGTGAATTTTGTGCAAGGAATCATACAAGTGTGGAGTGTCAAACTGGAAACTCTTTCTCCTCTTCAACAAGCGAGCAAGTGAATTATATGACAAGTTCACAAATGCCTTACAACAACCCATATTCCAATACAAACAATCTAGGTTGGAGAAATCATCCAAATTTCTCTTGGAGCAATCAAGAAGTACCAAAACCGATGGCCACTTACCAACCGCAAGAGAAAAAGATGAATTTGGAAGATATATTTGGAAAGTTTATGCAAAAGATGGAAAATTTCATAAATGAGTCAAAGACCAACTTTAGGAATCAAGAAGTGTCCATTTGGAATTTGGAGACTCAAGTGCGGCAATTGTCAGAGCAACTTTCGGAGGAATATCAAGCCTGTTTGCCAAGCAAAGAGAGCATATCAAGGCTATAACATTGAGTCGGACAATTTTAAAGCAGCCATAGAAAAAGAGTATGGTGGAGGACCATAAGGAAACAATGATGAAAGAGGCAACTATTGTACCCCTTAAGGATGAGCCGAAGAAAGAAAAGACAAGTGGAAAAAAAACGCAAAAAGATCCAGAGATTCTAGTAGCTCTGTCACCATATGATCAGCCTATTCCATTCCTTTAGAGATTGAGAAAGTAAAATCAAGATAAGCAATTTTTTAAATACTAAATTCTTAGATGTATTTAAAAAAATTGTATATTAACTTTCCTTTTATAGATGTATTGCTACAAATATCGAGCTACGTAAAGTTCCTAAAGGAGATTTTATCCAATAGAAGGAAATTGGAAGAGAACGAAATGGTTATGCTTACGAATGAGTATAGTGTAATACTACAAAAGAAGCTACCTCCAAAATTTAAGGATATAAGGAGTTTTATGATGCCTTGCTCCATTTGAAATATTCATTTTGACAAAGTTTTATGTGATTTACGTGCAAGTATTACTTTAATGTCTTTCTATGTTTTTAGGAAACTTGGCATAAGAGAAGGGAAACCTACCATGATTTCTCTTCAACTGGCAGATCGATCAATTAAGCATCTAAGAGGGATTGAGGAAGATGTTTTGGTCAAGGTGGATAAGTTCATTTTCTTTGCTGACTTTCTAGTGCTTGATATGGAAAAGGATAGGGAAATTATTCTTATATTAGGGAAACTTTTCCTTGCAATGGGGATGACTTTGATTGATGTGCAATGAGGGAAGCTCATTTTGAGGGTGCAAGATGAGAAAGTGACCTTCAATGTCATTGAGGCTATGAAGTTCCCATCCAAGGTAGATTCGTGTTTTCAAAATGATGGTATGGAAAAGTTGGTAACTAAATCTTTTTGAGAAGAAAATCTTAAGCTACCACTTGAAGCATGCATAACCAAGTCATAGAATACTGAGGATGATGATCCTAGGGTGAGAGTGTGTGCAAGATACTTAGAGGCATTACAACCAATCACTTCACTTCAAAAAAATAATTTAAAAAATTTGGTGTAAAGGAAGACAAGTTGCAAAAAGTGTCAGAGGACCCTTAAAAACTTAAGCTCAAACCACTATCTTCTCATCTCAAGTATGCTTATTTTGGTGACTCTAATTCTTTTCTTGTTATTATTAATGCTAATTTGAATTATGTAAAGGAAGAGAAACTACTTAGAGTGCTAAGAGATCACAAATCAACAATTGGATAGACCATTTCAGACATTAAAGGTACTAGTCCTCCTTTTCATATGCATGAGATACTTATGGAGGAAATGTTTAAGCCTAGAGTGTAGCCACAGTGTCAATTGAATCCATCCATGAAAGAGGTGGTAAGAAAGGAAGTTGTAAAAATGTTGGATGTTAGAATAATATATCCTATCTCGGATAGTTCATGGGTAAGTTTGGTTCAAGTAGTGTCAAAGAAGGGAGAAATTGCAATGGTGAAGAGTGACAACAATGAGCTCATCCCAACAAGGACAGTCATAGGATGTCTGGTGTGTATTTATTACCTAAAACTCAATGAATCTACTCAAAGAGACTTGCCGGTCTTAAGCAGGGCCTTAAACTCTAAAATTGGAAGAGACTCAATTGACCTAGGCTTGGTGGTCTTAGATAGAGGTGGTAAAGGCTCGTACTTTATGGTCTAGGGTCTATGTTCTAGATTGGTTGACCCATCTAAATAAGCACTAACTTCTTGAATCTCAGACACAACACTCAGGCTACATATCTCCTCAACAGACGGATTCATAAGAGTGTAAATTGCATTATCATATAACATCTGTGGGGTGTGAGCCTCCACTAAACTATCAGTAGCATCAGCCATGAAACACTCGTCATCATCCTCAGTCACCGGTCTTAACCCCGCATTAAACACATTGAACTTAAGTTTTCTGTTTCCAAAGGATACTTCCATTTCTCCTAATCGACGTTAATACACGCATTGGTCGTTGTAAGAAAAGGTCTCCCTAAAATAATCCATGGCATGCTTCCACTACTAGTATATTCCATGTCTAGAACAAGGAAATCCACCAGAAATATAGTTCTTCAACCTTAACTAACACGCCCTCAATCATGCCCCTAGGCATTTTGATCGATTGGTCAGCTAACTGCAGGATGATTTCAATAGACTTGAGCTCACCTAAGTTAAACTATTCATACACGAAAGTGGTTAGTAAGTTCAGGCTCGCCCTAAGTCTAAGAGTACTCTATCAATAGTGATATTACCTATCACAAATGAAATAATAAGAGCTCCAAAATCCTTCAACTTTGGGGGAACACGGTTTGAGACAATGGCACTTACATTCTTCAGTAAATGTACAGTCTTAGGCGTATGAGACTTAAGTCACCTCTTTTGTGTGCACAAGTCTTTAAGGAATCTGGCATACATAAGCAGGTACTTACTAAATGACATCTAAGAGTGGAATGTTAATTTGCACCTGTTTAAACAACTAAACAATTTCCTTCATCTTAGCATTTTCCTAGCAATGATAATTTTTTAGAGCTCTAAGCATTGAGGGAAAGGTGTTCTCGGTATGTACGATGTAGGAGACGGTTCCTTCTCCCTAACTTTACAAGTGGCTCACTCTTACTCTCTTTGCTTGGTCTCTACCTAGACTTTCCTTTTCTTTACCCTAGACTTCTACTTCCCTCTTAGGCCTAATTAGCTCTCGACCGCTTTGAAGAGTTATCATGTCCTTAGCTTGTTTAGAATACCGTTTCTATTGAGAAGCACCACTAAGGTTACCTACGACTTGACTAGGCAATTGGCCTTGTTCCCTCCAATTGCCTGCTTTGGCTATTTGACCAATCTGGGTCTCTAGCTTACTGATCGATTAGGAATGGGAATCTACTAGTTGGGTATTTTGCTTTAAGTTTTGTAACCTAGAGTTCATGTCAGCTTTTTGCTCCTACACGGTTTGGAGCATTTAGGCCATCATCGATTCTAGTGAACCGAGCATTGGAATGGGTTGCTGGATGGGGGGTGGGATCCTAGATTGGATGGGTGGTTGGATTGAAGGTTGCTCCCTATAATTTCCTTGTTGATGGGAAAAATAATTCCTATATGGCGTATTGTTTGGGGCATTGGGAGGTGATTGTTGCTTCCATGAAAAATTAGGGTGGTTTTACGATCCCAGATTGTAAGTATTTGAGTACGGATCGTTTCGTCTTTAGAAGCCTTGTGCCACTTACACTTGCTCCTTAAAAGGGTCAGGTGCAGATTCCTTGGTAGGATGGTCAAGACTAGACTGTAAAACAAAGGCATCTTAGTTTGCCCGACTCTGAGATGATTGCGTAGAGGTCTGCCCTTGTATAGATACAAACTTGTCAAACCAATGGGCCAACGACTCTAGCTTGGAAATAATGTCATCTAAGCATGACATCTCGTACACACCATTTTTTTTGGATGGTTGCCTTGAGACAAACATTCTAGATGCAAACATGTGGTGCATGGAGTTTCCAGTTAAGGTCTCGAAGAGTTGTCATAACTTATCTTTGTCCTTGTGCATAAATGTTCCTCCACAAGAGGTGTTTACCATATTCCTATGCTTCTTGGTTAGTCCATCATAAAAACTATGCACTAGTTACCACCTAGGGACTGCATGATGGAGGCACTTCCTAAGCATTTCCTTTAAACGTTCCCAACTCTCATAAAATTCCTCATAATCTAACTGAGTGAAACTAGTGATGGCTCATCTTATGCTATTGGTTTTACCTATGGGAAAATACTTTTTTTAGGAATTCTTGTTGCATTTGGGCCCAAGAGGTAATGGACCCTAGTGCCAAGGAATTGAGCCATTGTTTGGCTCAATCCTTCAGTGAGAATGGGAATGAGATTAAGTGCACAATATCCTCATTTACATTTGGAAGTCGAACAGTGGAGGAAACTCTAAAAATTCATCTAAGTATTTATACGGTTTCTCATTTAAATTCCTGTAATATAATGGCAACAATTGGATAACGCTAGTCTTAATCACATAATGTTGGGCTTGAATGTTTGGAATACGGATGCAAGAGGTTGATGTTTAGGCTGTGGGAATGAAATGCTCATTAAGGGGCATATGTTTCAGTGCGTGGTTATCACCCATCCTATGAAAGATGGAATGCATGGAGAATGATGCATGTGATACTATAACATGTATATTCTTATTTTGCAAAAAAAATTCAATCAAATTGAAAACAAGTAAGGTATAACTTGTTACCTTAAGTCCTTAGCAACCTTGGAGACTTTTAATTTCAAGAGAAATTAAACAAAA